CGAATCAACTGGAACTTCAAAAAAAAAAGAAAAAAAAAAGAAGCTCGTATCCTCTTCTGCAATGTATTCGTTACGCGTGGTTCTGGATACCGGTCCGAAACGGATCGTTGTTGATTCGTGGTTATACGTACGATCGCGAAGGCGTACAGTACTTAAAATCCCGCTGGACGTGCGGTTGCATTTAACTGCTGCACATTTTCAATTCAAGTTCTATACTGGAATCCGTGTTTCGACTCACAAAGAATCTACGTACATTACGTCGGCATGGTTTAAAAGTGTCTTATCTATTCTTCGGCCGTCATTGTTTTTCGCAATATAATTCGGAAGTTTCTGTGAATCCGCGATGAACGTATTGTCTGCACAAAATAGGAGATGCAAAAGTTTTGCCTTTATTCAAGTGCAGTACTGTATGCGCAGTTAAAGATGGATATTTTTCTGAAAGCAATCCGTTTCGCCCTGGAACTCATCAGGTGCAGCCTATTTATTCTGCAGATATTCAACTTTAGGTCATACACGGTCTCGTTTATGTGCTACTTATATTGCACAGTACAGCACTTGAATTACAGTAGACGGACTTTGTTTCCCCGCGTGGTCGCGTCTGTGGAAGGGCTGCACCTGAATCAGTGAACTTTTTAAAAAGTGGATTGTTCAAGCGTTCGTTCAAATATAGTGGAGCCTAGTACTTTCGAAAACGTATCTAGTTTTGTCCTGCATAGGATGCATTTTGCATATTTTTCTTCGTAGTATTCGGTGGCCCACTGCCCATCCCCCTCTCGAATCGAATCACTGCTCGAAATCTTGGTCTGGGTTATTATGCGGTACTAATGAAAAGGGTGGGTTGTAAAACTGGGTTAAAATAGCGCATAATGCATTTTAATTGCTTTATCTAACTCCTGACGCACGGTTTAATATGACTTCTATTTATTTTTGCGAGCAATGGCAGACATTTTGGTTCATTTTTAAAGCAAAGCAAAAAATAGGATCGCCGGCATCCAGTCGAACGGATATACAGTACCACGTCTCCTATCTTACATTCATGCCTGATTAAAAAAAAAATCACGTACGGACCGACGCATGTGTTGTTGACTTCACTGTGTTTCGAATCCCTTCTTCTCTTGGTAAGCTTTATCTCGGGCAGAGTTAACTCACCCAGATATTGTGTTAGTTGGCAACTCTGAAGATATTCTGTAATGTACAATACTAAGTACGGACCGCGGGAATTGTGTCCCCGGTTTCTTTTGCTCTTTTTGGGTGTGTTGAACTCGCAATATGGCTGCGCCCCTGTCGACGTGCGGCTCCGCCGGCCGACTACTGGTCTTCATTAATGCAAAGATTGGTATCTTAGTGCTGGAAGAGTATTCTTAGTTCAGCGACCGGTGCCGGGAATCACTGGAAGTGAAGCTAGGGAATTTTTGAATTTTCTTGGCTTTTTAGGAGGGTTCCCGGTCTGAGCGGTTCAGGTTTATCAGCGTCATGTGCAATACGTAATTTCTAGCGATCGCGTGTGCACAAGTTAACCGCCCTAGAATTCATTCGGTTTGTATATCCGAACAGAACATTCCATGATCAAGAATTTTTGAGTCTTTATAAAGCGGAATTCCGCTTCATCGCTGTGATATTCGTGAACCTGACGTTCGCGAACGTGGGACTGTAAGTCATTCCTAAACCTTTCTGCAAACATGACGACCGTTGCGAATCAAGGGTCCGTTTTGGACGTCCTGAAGAAGAAAATGCGGCAAAGTCGTGAGGAGATGGAGAAATTCAAGGAAGAATCAGAGGAAAATTACCGGCAGTGGAATATGGAGAAAAAGCGACGTGAAGATGTGAGTTCTTGCTTGGCATCCAGATTCTTTCACGTGTCACCAAATGTTTCTGCGGGTCTCGCCATATTTTTCTATATGGTCTCCAAATGATCACGTTGGTCTCGCACAGAATTATGGGATGTGGTTGCATATGTTGATGCAAATTATAGTACTGTACAGTATTTTACTTCCGGAGAAACCTGTTCCAGATAACGTGAATAGCGATGCGTCGCTTCTGTCGATAGGGCTGTACGATACCCTGCGTTGCGTTGATGTCGTTCTTTCTATGTACCATGTGTCGGTTTACTGTGCTTTACCAGTAGATTCGTCGAACTTATCTCTTCTATTGACTTGTCTGTTTGAGTTGCGACGTTGTTTCAAGGGTGTTAAGACGTACGTTAGGAGTCAATTTTGATAGCTTTTTCATTTTTTTGAGGCTGCTTATGAATTTTGCCTGACTTCAGATGAAGTTTACCAGGAACGGTCGGTTTATATACGTTTTCTCAGTTGAGACATACGGAATGACCTGCGGATTCCTGGACGTGTTGACCAAAAACAGGAAAGATTCAAGAAACCCCAAGAACATGCATTTAATTTTTAAAGTCATGTTCCACCTGAACTCCCCAGGGTCCTTGCGTACGTTCCAGGGAAAGAAGCAAAAAATTTGCAATTCGAAAGAGGGTAGTGGGATACAATACTTGAGAGTTCACCTGTCCATGACTGAAAGAAAGGAAAATTTTACTGATGAATTCAATAAATTCCCCTAGAATGCATTAAAGAAAAGGCAGGTATAAATCGAAATATAATTTTAGAAAGAGCTCCGTCGCATAAATGTTATAGGTACAGCACCATTTGTGATGGGGGTCGATTCATTCAGCTTCGAAGATTTGTGAAATCTTTTTGTCGAACTTGATTTAACATTTTCTTCGGATGATTAGACAACTTTTATTATCAGCGGTGGAGTTTCTATCATCGTATCGGGAAAAAATATGAAAATTTACGTTGCAACGCGTCTAATGGTATTCACGTTATTCTGAGAGCAGAAATATTATCCGGGCATTCCTCCGGCAGTGAATAATTAGCCTGATGGCTCGTTTGTTTGCAGTTTCTTTGGGTCGGTTTGAAAAGTATGACAATGAAAATGTGGACGGTTCTTGAGCGATGGTAACCTTAGAATCGGGTGATGAACCCTTTTGACGCGCTTCGGGAGTAAAGCCGAAGCCGAGTCCGTCTCTTCTTTGCCTTCAGCGTTTGTTTCTTGGAGACGTGAACAACCTCGCCAGTGCGGAAAGGTTTAAATTTTTTTCTTATTCCCGTTTAGATGATTTTTCGGTTTGTTCTTCGGAGGCTTTCTTTCGAAAGCTATGTAAAAACGTTGCGAAGTGTGCGCCTGCGCATCGTATTTTCGACATTCCGAAGCTTACTCGCCTTTGGTACTTGGGTATACTGTATCTATGGGATCAGAATAATGCATTTTCCTTACCTCTGGTAAATTACAGGCCGACTCCATATATAGCGTAGACCTTACGCATCGAGATGCGTCGAACTGAGATAGATTATGGTTTTTTTTGCATCATTTTATGAAGTAAATCAACAAATAGTGTTTTGAATTTTCCTGTCCCGATATGGTTTCACCATTGCCATGCCTAGTTGCACATCGCTGAAAAGATAGAGATCGGACGCCACTAAATACTCCCAGTTGTTTGTCAGCGCAATGGAACAAAAAAGATTCTGGGCGTTTCGGAGTTTCGAATGACTTGTTCATTGGTGACACAAGGGTGTCCTTAAATTATATTTTCGGATTTGCTCACGCCTTTTCCGGCCGGTGTGGGCGGCACTGGGCGGATCATACACGGAGCTATGTCTCATCCACTGGTTTACGGTGCAAATCGTGGAATTTGGGGGAGCCGCATTTTATTACTCATGTCTTATGACGAATATGCGTCTGCGAGTGAGCATTACTTCTTTAGAAACGAGGTTCTCAAGCTGTGCTCGGCGGAGCACTGAGTGCTGGTGGTTTGCATGTACTGCCACTGTTCAAATATAAGATAACTGGAATAAACTTTCATCTTCTGGAGCGGGGCCCATGAAGTACATATGAGGTCTACTATATTTGGAACGAAAGGCAGCTGTCTTAAAAGACGGGTTTTATAATTTTTGAAGCACAAAAAATTAATTTGCTAGGTATATATGCTGATGGCGCTGAGGGACTCCCTTCGCTTCAAAAAGGGCTCCGTCGTAGATACGAAAAGGGTTTCATGAGTCGAAAAGGTTTAGAAACCCTGTTGTGCTATTTGTTTTTCATTCAGTCGATTTTTCACGCAATTTTCTTCAAGTCTCATGTGAGAAGTACAGTAGTTGACCTCATTCATTATATTCGACTTTGCGTATCTATCCTTCAGCACTGTGCTCGCTGGTCCATAACATAGTTGATAGTAGATAAGGAAGTCTTTCTATAAGCATCTGAATTCATTGCATCGTCCTGCTCTTCATTGCGATCACTAGTAAAAGATGTAATAACGGTATACAAAGGACCTGTACGAACCAATTGAAACGTCGATGACTGCTTGGCGGAACCGTTGCAGATTAAAGCTTACTTCGTCGGTTGTAGTTCCAATTGATTCTTGAGTTTGACAGAAGTGTCTGGTTCACTTATCTACGGAGCAGTTGAATGATGGTTTGAAATTTTTTTCGCTGGGGCTTGCACGTGTTCCTCGAGCATTATATTTGACATGATACGCTTAAAAGCATATTTTAGCGATGACAGGTCTGTGGTGGCTTTTTATTTTATTTTTTAAATTCATCTTGAGAGTATTTCTTTGAGAACACTTTTATTCGTAGACTCGAGAAGTCTGGTGACGTTTATCGAGGCTGTGTTTGGAATTCGTTTATGAGTACTTGTCGGAAACGCGTCGCCAGACCGTGTGTAAAAGAAGTATGTCATTTCCGTCCTCGTCCTGTTTTACTGACGTCTAGGTTCCAGATCCCGTGAGAATAACATCAACCAGTTGATGCATTAGATGGGCTTATCAGTTTTTATTCCTTCTCACTTCACGCGTGTGGAGAATGGGGCTTGCATTTTTTTTCAGTCGGGGAATTTTTTTCTGTTGTATAACAGATTCTCCAGATGTGGATCGAAGTCTGGTCCGTGCCACACCTAAAATTTAATTGCTCCTTCAATTTTTTCCGTTCTTATAGGCGGAGGCAGAAGTTGCTGCTTTGAACAGGAGAATACAATTGCTTGAAGAAGACTTGGAAAGATCTGAGGAACGTCTGAACACTGCAACGACCAAGTTGGCTGAGGCGTCTCAAGCTGCTGATGAGTCGGAACGGTATGTCTTTCGACGAGTCTTTTTCGTCTTAATTTTTTCTTCTTCGGTGTGAAGTTTACTTCGTGAAATTCCTGAAACTTGAAAGTTTTATTTTCTTCGCACGCTGCGGGGGGAAATATATGTAATGTAGGATACGTAAGGCTTTGGAGAATCGTACCAACATGGAAGACGATCGTGTTTCTATTTTGGAGTCCCAGCTTGCGCAGGCCAAAATGATCGCCGAGGAGGCGGATAAAAAATACGAAGAGGTAAGGCCTTGCGAACATCGCGATTGACGTGGGACTGGCGGTACATGCGTTTTTTACGAAGAAAAATTGTCCATTGGCTGGGAACTGCGCATGAGCCTTCCTGGTGCGATTCTTGGTAGACATTTTGGGCAGGACTATGGGGAAATGTGGCTAGAACTCATCCGTTAATGTGTCTCTTTTTCTTTCTTTCTTGAATGTGTTGATCAAACGCATTCTCTTCTCTCCCCACTCTTATACTGTTGCTGCTCGGTGTTTCTCGGCTATGTGGCTTTGGATGACTTTCGTATAACCCAGTATGAGGAAAGTGCTGGAGAACCGCTCTCTGTCAGATGAGGAGCGAATGGATGCGCTCGAGAACCAGTTAAAAGAAGCTAGATTCTTGGCAGAAGAAGCTGACAGAAAATATGACGAGGTATTCTCTTCCGGGGGTCGCGTGATGTTTCAACTGGTGTTCCAACCTTTTTTTTTTTTGGCTATTTCCTAACACACTCGTGTGACTTCACTAACATCCCCTGTGATTATACGCTATAGTTGGCTTCCAACTTTTTTCGCGGTGATGGTAATGGAAAATGCCGTTGTTGCACTCAGGTTGCCAGGAAACTGGCCATGGTTGAGGCTGATCTTGAAAGAGCTGAAGAGCGCGCCGAAACTGGTGAATCGTAAGTTCGCTTGCTGGACTTACGCGTGAGGCTTGATTTTTTTTTCTAACCATGGATGAGCATGTTCCCCTGAGCCAAGTCCTTATGAGATGAAAAAGCTGCGTCGTCTTGATTAAATTTTGCCTTGGGTTAACAGTTTGATTTTCGGTCTTATCTGTACGAAGTACTGTAATTTAATTTTTATTTTGCGATCATCGCATATCCAGAAGTTGGTACATCGTGAGGTGACTGCTAATTCTTTAAATTATCCAACATTAAACAATAGAACTAGAGTTGAACCTTGATGACTCGAAACTCCCCATCTCGAATTTTTTCACGTCCATTTTAAAATTCCCTTAGAAACAATGTATTAACCCCCACAACTTGAAGGATTTCCCTCTCAAACCTCCGTTACTCAAATTTTCCGGTGGACTTTTGGCTATTGTTTTTTTGACACAGGAGAGCAGAAAGCAATATAAAATGAAACTTGATATGTTATGAAAAGAAGTGAAAAGACTAACTGGGCAAATGAACCCTTGCCTCAAAGTTTTGCATCTTGTCAACTCATTTAAGAAGCAATTTTAGGCCCAGAATGTCGTTAATTACAATTTCCTTCAATTATTCCTTCTTTCCCTCAACGAAAATGCTTGTTTCCCGGACTGAATTTTTTTTTTGTCCCTTGAAATTATACTTGAAAAGGGTTGATTGTATTTGTAATACAGTAACTTCATCGTCATTCAAGGTTAGCCTGAATTTTTAATGGAGCACGCCAGTTTTGATCAGTTTCAGTTTTCGCCTCCAATGTGTAAATTTATTGTGCTTATTGTTGAACTCGAGGAAAAAAAGAAATTTTCTTATCTGTTGAAGTGAAGCAGCTTTTTTAGTTCATTCGGAGTATTGTAAGTCCGAAGTTCCTTGAAGTGTGTGTGAACCGCCAGTGTCATGTACCGTGAAGATTTGTTTAAAATACTTTTTCCAGATGCGAAGCAGATGTCCACTCTGCCTGCTCTTTGAAATTGTGTGCGTTTTGTGGTGACGTTTTTACTAACTGCATTTGTTTCCATTGCATACTGCGTGGTCATTCCTACCTGCTTGCTGCGTTCCGTGGAATCCCTCCTGTAATCTCATGTCTGTCAGGTTGCCCGGAAATTGGTCATTTTGGAAACTGACTTGGATCGCGCTGAAGAACGAGCGCAACAAGGCGAAGCGTAAGTTCTGAATGGAAATTTTTGACCTCAAGTGTACCGATTCTCGTTCACCGGGATTCAACATTTTCTTCGACGAGAACAGAAAGAAAATAAATCTAAATGAAATATTCACTTTTTGTAATCGTTTTCTCTGTCGTTTCGTAGACTAGTATGGGAAGTTCTTCGTACCCAAACATAACCGAGATTTAAGTTCCACCCGGAATGGCTGTGTCGATTACGTTCAATGGAGTGTCTGCCATATGACTTATGACTCCGATTATCCGGCCCATTGCCTGGGTACTATTCCCAGGAAAATCGAATATTTTGGATAATCTGCTAGTACCAAATTTTGTCCACGGTTAACGAATTCAAGAATGAATTAGAAATTGACCGATGTGAGTCTTGCTCAAGTTCATTTACATTCAAGTTACGAGCGTATTACGTTTGGAAATTCGTATAGATTCTTTGCCCAGTTCCGTTTGTCTTGCAAATCAGCGGTGCTGACCGAAGTTTTCGTTATGGATTTTTGGTTCAAAATAAACGCACTTCACTGTACGATATTTTCCCGGAACGCTGGAAAGTTTGGATGGCAAAATATGTAAAGTAAACTAAATAATAATCAAGCTTTGCTAAAAAAGAGAGAAAAAAGTTGAAAGTTCAGATGTGGGGCATGGATGAACCGGAAACGACCTGCGATGCGATGTTCCCATGAGGGCGATTTCAAATGGGTGTGATAGTTTTGAACCGGAATGAGGGTAGGGCGATTTCCTATTGCCTGCCGAATGCTAGTTTTAATTGCCGTGACTATTGTAGAGCGTTGACTGTCATGCGTGTCACTTTTCCCTCAACTTTTACTCCCCGTTAATCTGCGTGTGTTATTTATTTTTTTAAAGGAAAATTGTGGAGCTTGAGGAAGAACTCCGAGTCGTCGGCAATAACTTGAAGTCTCTTGAAGTCTCCGAAGAGAAGGTAATCTTCACTCCACCTCACAAATCCTGGCGTAATAAATTCAAGCAAGCTATTATAGGTGTTCGGAAAATAATTCATTCATTTATTTTCTGGTTGTTCGACCCACTTTCTGCGCTTTTCGTCCACTTGCCCAACGACCACGCTGTTTGTTAGTTTGAATGATCGACGATTTTCATCGAAGCCACATTAAACATTGGTCTGGCTCTGAATAAGCGCAGAAAGTTTGCCGAACTCGGTCGCGTACGAGCGATCGGCAGTTACGATTGAAATTCTTTCATAATTTACGCCGATATTTGGCCGGCGATTTTATTTGCTATTGGGATTTAAAAATCGGGTAACAGGCCAACCAGCGTGAAGAGGCCTACAAAGAGCAGATCAAGAGCTCGACCACCAGGCTGAAGCAGGTAATTCAGGCCATAGAATACAACTGCGGATATTAATGGCGTGAATACACCCTAATGTTTATGGTTTTGTGCTCTCCCTTTTCTCACCTTCCCATCTCGTTCTATTTCTTGCCTCTTGTGGTTTGTGGAATCCGTTTTGGCATGCGGAAATTTTGCATCCGATTCCGCTTCGGGTGAATTTTGGATGCCCCTAACCCTTTACCTGCCTGCTCTCCTCGAACAACCTGCTCCTCTAAACTAGGCGACACAGAGAGAAGAAGAGTACGAAAGACAGATCAGGACTCTAACTTCTCGCCTGAAGGAGGTAAGAAATGTTTCGTAGTTGTAAAGTTTATCCATCATTTTTGGCCAATGGGCTATTCTCAATTCTATGTACGAATGAAAAAAATCGGAATATTTACTAAAACGATGGGTTTGAGTTGAACTGCAGTAAAATTTGAGCCGAAGGAACTTCATGTCCTGTTTCTCTACGGTTGAGGTTAAGTGTCGAGACTGTCCAAACTTCAAGCAGTACCTGATTCGGACGATGACTGTGACTCGACCCTTCTTTGACCTTTGCATGGTGTTGGAACGTTAAGTCCTTTGCTTAGAGTGGCAGAGGTTTTTAAAGTATATTCTATGATGTGCCCGTTCTTGGTTTGTGATTTGATTTAATTTTTTCTGAAGATAATCTCAGCTTTTTGGCGGGTTTTTCACGTGTGATGTTTTTTATGACGTGACGTAAATCCATTCCTGCATGAATAGCATGACGAATTTTGAATTTTAACCCCGCTAGAACCAAAGTCTTGATCTAATATATTCTTTATGCAAAACTAGGCTGAAGCAAGAGCTGAGTTTGCCGAGAGGTCGGTTCAGAAACTCCAGAAGGAAGTTGACAGGCTCGAGGGTGAGTTGAAAATATCCTCCATCTTGTTTCACTTGCATTTCCCAAAAATCCCTCTCTGCCTCGTTTCCTACCACTGGAATGTGTGTGCTCGAAATTGATCCCGATTATCATTTTTTTTGCTCTTGATTCCGGTTTGTTGGATCGGCCTGCAGACGACTTGCTCGCGGAAAGGGAAAAAAATAAACAGTTGAACGAGGAAATGGAGGCAACGTTGCAGGATATACAGAACATGTGATTCAAATTTTTATTTTAAGCACATTTACGCTTACAACATTGGCGAGGTGAACAGGGCTTCTTCTCGGGGAAATTGAATGCGACCGTGCTTCCGAGGTTTCTTGTTTCTCGTTAATTGTAATGGGCTACTGTTGAAACAAATCTGCTTCAAAACTTCAGGTGCCATGGATGATTATTTTTCATTGAACATCTTGGTGATTTTTCTCTTTCCCGTCTGTGCGCTTTCTATTATTTTCTTTTGAGCATGTGCTTTGGGTACCTCTTGACCGGTTTACTTTTTATGGGAACTTCTACACTATCTACGGGGTTCGTTTTGCTCTTGCAAATTTTCACGTTTCTGGGGCTTGATATGTTTGCGTGTTCGTGTCGTTTTGATAAAATTTTTCTCTGCAGATGAGCTCATCCAAGAGAAAGAAAAATACAAGGGCCTATCCGACGAATTGGATCAGACGTTCACGGAATTGTCAGGATATTAGAACTTCTGCAAAAATTCAGCGAAGAGGGACATATCTTCGCAGGCGCGGCTTGGACATCAATTTCCTCCCACTTCACGTCGCAAAATCTCTTGCAGCAGAAGTTAGCTTTTTTCACCACCACGTTTTTCTGCCCACTGCAGAATGCTTTGTGTAGGGTGTTGTAATGCATTTTGACAGAGCAGGCGCTCGATTTCTTTCATTTTGCCTCGCGAATTGTTCGATCAGGAATTTTTTCGGATACTGGCGCTTCCGTATGTCTCATATTCTTTATCCGATGTATTCGCTGACGGGAGCAAGCTTGAGTTCGTCTGGATAATATTTCCGGACTAGCGTCTTCTTCCGCTTTCCTCAAGTAATGGGCCCGTTAATATATTTTTTGTTTTATTTACGAAGCGTGCATGTGTTTTACGCGATTTGTATTACACGAGAGAATCAGCGACTTTGCGGCATTAGCGAGAAATGATGAACGACTGGATTTAAGAATCCAATCCGCCGCCGATGGAGACAGTTCCTTAAAAATGACTGCTAAGTTTCAATTTGAATCGTCGTGCTAGATGCTTTAGGAGAAACAGGAATGTGTGAAGTGGGAATTAATTTTTACTGATATTCATGTGGATGTATCGATCATTACGATGTACACAAACGTTCGAGTTTCTTCTCAGTGACGACTTAATGTAGTTTCACGGACAGTGGCCTTGATTCATCTTTCTACTCTCCGCTTTCCGTCTCCATGGGTTTTATTTTAGCCATAAGCCCACTTCACTCCTTATTTCGGACGAAAAGTTTGGATCAAGTTTTGTGTTAGTATTTTGAGGGGATTCCCCCGAATGATTTGGGGATTTGAATGCGTTTTTATTTGCAACTATCTTGCGCGCTCGCTTTTCGTCCGTGAAGCGAATTCACGCATATTGTCACTGTTCTGCCACCGAGCTTTCGCCGGATTAATACGTCGTTGCGTTGTGGTTTCGACTGATTCAGCCCATGTCCCAGCCCCCTCGAGTCAGTTGGCTGCCAAGCTCATTCACATCCTTGTAATAAAAGAGAAACAATAAATTCAAGAATCAAGTCATTTCACAAGCTTTCCGTTTTCTTTCAATTTATTTATGCACGTCAATGTATCTAAGGGTCGTGTTAGTTGAGTTCAGGGTGTGGTTCCGATTTCGCTCGTTGCGTTGCACTGATCCAGGGTATCTGTGTAATCAATTAGCGGTCGACAGGTAAAAACTGCCCCATTTTGGTCTAATTGAGATGAAATTCTGTCGCGATTTTATCATTTATCGTGATTTATGGAACTACAGTACTGTGGCACCGCCATTATCCATGCCGCTGAAGTTGATCCAGGCATGAGCTTGCTTTTTTATCCCAAGCATTTTCGCCGCTCGCGTCAATGATTGTACCAACTGCATGTATCGCAGATATCTTGCATGGCGTACAGTATTTTCTTTTCTCCGATCAGCACTGTTGGCGGAAATATTCAGCGATAAAGGAAGTGATTTGTTTTATGGAGGCAATCTTCGTGGACATGGTTATTCATCCAGTGCTACGTCTGCCGCTTCGGATTAGAGAAAATACTGTGATTCTGCCGAATAAATTTCTTTACTGTTATAAAGGAATAACGGCATTAAAATTGCCTCAAGCTGTTTAAATTAATTTTTTTCGATGAATCGCAATTATTTTTGGGGCTGAATATTATCGAGAGGAGGTATCCGGAGAGGTAAAAACGCATCGAGTCGGTGAAGTGGGCTTTGTCAAGGTCCACTTATTTTCCGTTGTTAATCATGCCGGTATGCACAATACGACCTTAACGAAAGAATTTAAGGATGACGTGTTTACGCATGCTTTATCTGAAGGAATGCTGAACCTGTAATTAAAAATTTACCTCAAAGCTTCTTCGCCGACATGAAATATGATCCATTTTGACATATTCTGTGTGGTTGTGATGAAAAATAAATGGGAAAATGTAATGAAACTTCGGCTATTGATTCGCGGATGATCGAATTCTGCGCAGTGGATGTGGAAATTCATGACAATTTTTACGGGATACTGAAGATAATTCTGCGTGCGTTGACTTCATGCTACTGTATGTACACATCATGTCAAGTTCGAAGGAAACATTTCCTTCTGGCCTTCATGAATCACAAGGTCATTGTATATATGCATTGATGTATGCTGCGAAGTTTGGTTTTCCCCGTATCATGTTCGTTATTCACGAAATTTGTGAATTTCATCATGCTGAACCGACACTGGAGTCCTGGAGTAAATTTGAAGTTAATTTGCTGAGCAAACTGAAACTGCATGTACGCTACTAATTGCAATTACTGTGTAGACCTGCATGATCGATTTTAAATTCGGGTGGAGGTAATGAATGCATGGTGCAGTTACGTGTACAGTAAAAGACTGAATGGGTAATTGAGGTCTATTGTACAGGATACCTGACGAGAATTTCTTATTTTCTGGCAATACTTTCCATGTTGCTATTCGTTTTGGCTCTTCGCTGGGAAATGAGCAGCAATCGTTTGGGACTACGACGTACCGTGCAAAACACGGCGTGGGAAACAGGGTATTGTTGGTTGTTTGTCCGTTGCGGAGCTCGTGTTCTACGAGGCCGTCTGAGCCGAATCTGTATTGCTCCCCAACGCGGAATTGCACGGGCCGGAAGTTCCGAGTTTGTGCGGAGTCGGTAAACACGGCTCAAGCAGTTAATTGCTCTCTGTGTGCAGTGCGAAAATGATTCACTTCGTTCCCAATTTGACCGTTCCGGCTCGGGGCAAATGTATGCCCATTCTGGCGTAAATATGTTCCCGCGTCTGTTATAACTCTGACGCGGGCTTCTTGCTACTGCATGCATATGTGCTGCATATTCTTATCGTCGAGTATTCGTGAAGTTCTCGCGAATCCGCATAATCAGATCGTATCCCTTTGTCTTCGTGTAAATCAGAAGTTTCGGCCTTATTCATATTGATTCATCTTCCCGATGCGCAAATAAAAATGTACTTACTTTCTGTATTTGATAATCGTCACAGAAAATGTTCTGATCTATCTTAAACCGTTGGTGACGAGCAGCAGGCCTGACCAGCAGCAGGCCTCAGTTATACGAGGTCACCAAGGAAGTTCGTACAGGAAAATGAGGTCGTCTTTTAAACGAACAGTACAGTGTATATACTGTGTATGTACATAAATGAGCTAAGAAATTATGTGCATGCAGCGATCAAAATGAGAGAGAATATATGAATAAAAAACATGATCAGAGGGCATTACGAAGAAATATCCACTTCTATTTGTCATGCTTGAAAAAATAAAGCACTCATATTCGTAAGAAGTTTTATCAGAACTATGTCGGCTTTTTGTTGCAGTCTGACGTTAATTGCATTCTTGCTACTTCCGTTATCGTTCAGCTTTTCATCTTCACAATTCGAATGTAAATTAAGAATATTTCTCTTAATATTGCGCCCTTCACTGTAATTGGAGTGTTATTAATGCGTATTGTAAAACTTACTTTGAAGCTAACTGCTGTATATTCGTGCTGGTTCAATTCTACTCAGAGCTACAGTATTCTGATATAAGAAGGTGTATTTGCGTTTATTTGGGCGAGCATCAGCGCTGTCTTGAAAGGGATACTATTTTAAAATTGGGTTAAAGCCACGCCATTATGCTTGCGGACGAGACGCAGCATGAGCGTTTATTCAATATGCATGCTCGAGTTATTAAGCTCGAATAATTGAGTTACAGTATTCGATTGAAAAAGAGAATTTATAAAATTTAGTCTTTATCACCCGTGCTTTCTCGGCGCTCTTTAAGCTGTTTCTCTTGGTGGATTTCAAGTCATTCAATGCGAACTTCGGAGTGAAGCAAGCATGGAAAATTCGAGGTAAATCGGCTCTTAACTGATGCTGGCCGTGATCCAAGACGCGGTTGAAGGATGATTCTCGTTAAAATCAAAAGCGAGAGCCAGGGTCAGAAAAAGGATCTTGGGATCATGTCTAATGGTCAGGGTGTTGGTTGGGAAGCGTCGATGCAGAAACCGCGTCGACTATTACCGTCGGGGACGAAGGTTTGCGTCAGACCCGACGCGGTACTGAGAAACTTGATGATGGCCGGTTCGTGTTCCGACGCTGTGATCTGCTGGTGTCCATCAAGTTTTTGGCCTGTGATGCAGCAAAAAAAAAAAAAAAAACTGCCAATTTTCTGAAAATAGAATTGTAAGGATCCCGTCGTCTCCGTCTGAAGCGTCATTCGATGCATATGGACCAGGAAGTTGAATACTTCTCTCCATTTTAGTGAGTCATTTTTTTGGTATGCAGCAGTCCGTTAGCGGATAGTATCAGTACACATCAGTACCATACTCGGAACCTTTCCAGTTATCATTTTATTTCTCACCACCTCAAAGCTAATGTCTCGTTAAAACATGCATGAGCTTTTCTGTACTCCCGAATAACCTCATTTCCATTTTCCTCTACTTGACGGAATGAACTTTCGAATAATGCAATTTATACTTGCCGCACTGATTTGAAGTAGAACTCATCCGCGGAAATTCTCAGTGACCAAATCACTAAATAATTGCTCAAATAATCATATTCCTTCGGTAATTCACCATTTTAAGCATATATATGCGGTACATTCAACACATGCAAGAGGTTTTTTCGATGATGATTGAGTATACAGAGCTTATTACGGTGATGCAATGCAGAAATTGGACTTGATTAACTTCAGTATCATGCGTTAGGATCAGTTTTGTCTACGGCAAAATGTTCCAGCAGTATACTAGCCATTTTTTGGGCCAAACATATCAATATAGGCAGGTAATGCCGTATTTTTTCAATTACCAAGCGCATATTTTTTCAAAGAAATTGCGGACAAAAAGCGAGCTACGCTATGATATGTACAGTATTGTATACAAGTTTTGAATGCAAATTTAAAATTGCTTGCAAGCCAGACGTGAATCGTGCTGGGTAAACATTTTCATTAACAAAGTCTACTGCTTACAATTTTTTAAAGTTATATTTTAATTATTCTGTGATTTATATGAAAAGACGTACCAGTTTAATTTAATTTTTCAATGGGATTTGATTTAGATTTTATCGAAGTTGGTTTTTGATGTGACTTTCGGTAACTGGATGTTACGAATGCGAAAAAACTATACGCTCAGGAATTTCGCCAAAGTGCGATATTTGATTGTGGTGAGCTTTTCTCACCAGGCACCTTTGTGGTGCTTCCTCTCCTCGAAAAACCCACTCATGCATAAAAAAGTAAAAATAATTGAAAATAGGATAACAAATTCTGGCGCAGTCGGTACTCCTTTTTGCGCCAGGGTGGTGTCTGCTGTGTTTTTGTATCTTAGTCTAACAATACTCTGATTGGTGACCCGTAACCTTTTTGACCACGACTGAGTCCAGTGAAGTGGCTCCAGACAGCAGCAATCTAGTTTTGAAATTTTCTTTCTAGATTGCTAGTACAGCTTCTGACAAGATTTGTGCATTCCCGGGTATGCAAGGAAAATAAGCCGTAACGGAAGAGATTAAACGAGTGAAGTTTAAATCTAGAAATTCGTTTTCCTGCTTGAAGGGCAGAAGAAAGATTAATTTTGGTCTGATCAACCAGAATAATTTTTACCCACTTAACGTGAGTGGAAGAGAATGGTCGAGAGAAGAAGTTCTGTAAAAAGGCAAGGTTATTCTTGAAGCCTGAAAAAAGAAAAAGGTTATTCTTGAAGCCTGGAAAAAGAATAAAAGGGATCCTACTTGCGAGTAGAAGAGGCAAGAAAGGCCTGGAAAAAAGAAAATCAGATTCCTGCTAAGAGTTAGCCTTCTAAACAGCAGAATCACTTTAGAACTTATTAAGTTAGTTCTTTAGCCCTGATTTAATAGTAACCCTCTATTAAGTTGGAAGATCCGCTCGGGATTAAAAACGAGGAAACAACCGGCGAGTGAAGTCGGGATCGAATCGATAGTGAGATCGGATTCGAAAAAATTATATTTGCGCGTGAAAGAGAGTGAAAAAGTCAATTGCGAGAAAGTGTTGAATTATTCCGTATCGCGAAAAAATTATTGAATTTATTTTTACTATCTTTTC